GACATTCAAATTTGAACGATTTTTTGTTGTCATGGATTTTTTAAAAGTAATTATTAGAGATGGGATATTTAGGTACTAAAAACTGAAAAATAGGTAACTAAAAAGGTACTAAAAAAAGCATTTTAGGTTAAAAAAACAGCATTTTAGGTAAAAAAAAAACATTAAAAGTTCAAGTTTCGTTTATAATTTTGTTTAGCCGCATATCCAAACACAGAACATACCCACAATAAACTATTTATATGCAATAAACTGTGTTTCACTGAGTGACACACTACACAGAAGTTCTATGACATAAGCTCACTACAAAGAAGGTAACTGTAAAGAAAGTTACTGTTACAGTCTGTGACCATAAGAAAAAATTCTATACCGTTGAGTTGCACGCCCTGGATAAAATATTGGCGCAAAATTTAAAAAAAGCACAAAAAAATAAAATAAGTAAAAATACGTAAAAATAGGTAACAAATAGATGAAAATAAACTGAAAAATTAAAAAATATGTAAAAAAAGTATAAAAAGGTACAGTTGTATTCATTAAAAAAGCGTACAAGAATTAGAATGAGAGGAACCTGTCAACATTATTGCGTAAAACCGGCTTTCCACTGACTTAAGTCACTATAACTGACAGTAGAAAATAAAAATGCCTCGTCAGTTAAAAAGGCTCAAATAGTATCAAGAATCGAAGAAGAATGGTCAATTCGTACCGTGGTATAATAGAAATAAAAAATCTATATTAAAAATTATGCAACGCTGCATGGGAACAGGAAGATTTACTAAACCAAAAAGTTGGTTCAGGTCGTCCCAAAATGTTCACCCCTGAACAGGATGCTGCTTTTTTGGGATATCTGAGGATTTATGGGAAACTATACAACTATACTATACCTACTATACTGCTGGGAGGATATTAATCCAAATATTTTATTAAATTTAATTCAGTTTATCCCAAATAGATTGGCTCAAGTAATAAAAAAACACGGATGCATGACTAAATATTAAATTTTTTTAATCTTTGTTTTTTTTTCATTTCTAAAAGGTAATAATTTTTGTAATATTATTTAATTAACTTACGACGTCAATGCTCTTTATAACCTATAGTAATTATTTTAATGACTTATGTCAGTGATAAGCCGGTTTTAAGCAATAATATTATTTTGACAGTTTTCTCTCATTCTAATTCTTGTACGCTTTTTTATTGAATACAACTGTACTTTAAAGCAAAAACCTCCAAAAAAGGTAAAAAAGGTGAAAACAAGTTAAAAAATAGGTACCGTAAACACGGGGGGCTTTGGCTCACTTTCAAACTTCAGCTTAAAATTTTTGTGGTTTTAACAATCATAAACATTAAATTTTGTATACCAAAATTTGAGTCTTGAGTTGCTCTTTCATAATAACTATGTTATAATATTACATAGGGCTGAGTTTCAAAAATAAACATTAAAAACTGGGTGTGCAAAGTTACCCCCTGGTTGCGGGTTACTTTGTCTCACAGTGTTTTTTCAGTATAAAATGAATGTAATATTATATTTTATTTTTATTAGACACGTGTTAGCAGCGACATATATCTATTGCAAGGGATTACCAATAAAAAAAATAAAAAATCGACCTGTAGTTAACCAAGGATCATCATTCATATGGATTGCGCATAATATAGAAATTGTAACGCGTGTATTTCTAAGAGTTTTGCACTGATACGATATATACAATTTTAAAGTGTAATAAATCCCATTTCTTTCTTTAAAACACTGATTTTCCTGTAATATAAACTCAACAGAATCGCTCAATTGACAGGTTTAGACCAACAAATTATAAATGTTAATTTTATCGAGCGCAAAAAGATTTTTCATAAATGGGTTAAAGTCACCCGCGGGGTGCAAAGTCACCCGTAATTACGGTAACAAAAGTATAAAAAAGGTAGTTTAAAGCAAAAACCTCCAAAAAAAGTAAAAAAGGTAAAAACAAGTTAGGTTCATATAAAAGAAAATCTTTTAAAACACATTTTGGCATTATTGGTTTTCAAATAGTTACATCGGCTGAAAAAAGGTAAAATAACTAAAATCCCATCCCTAGTAATTATATCCTGTTAGTCTGGCTTTTTCCAGTGGTGTAACAAAAAAAGGGTAGAATATAAAGAACAGAACGATATTACTTAAATTTAATTATTATCGTTTCGCGGATTCAACATTTAAATTAATTAAATGAATAAATGTTTCAAAGAGATAAAATAAAATAAAATAGAAGTAATTCTTTTTTATTTAAAAATTAAATTAGCATGGTAACAAAATTGGAAGAAAATTAGATTACAAAGACATTTCTAAAAAGGTGTTTTTGAACATATTCATCAAAATCTTTTTGAAGACTACCTAATACTTTATTGCAGAATCAAATAAAAAAACACTTCAGTCTTTTGGACATGCACGTAATTAAATCTCGCATGTTGTAGGAATCAAGCATTTTCAACAGCATTCGATAATGTTTTTACTACGAAGCCCTATACGTTCTCGATAGTGTTCAAGTCAGGACTTCTTGCTGGCCATAGCAAAACAATTTCCGTCTTGAACGGTTTAATTTTCGCCTAAAAATAACCAACTTTTAACCTAAACATTGCAGATAATTTTTCGGTTCTAATTACGTTTAAATTTGAACCAAATTTTGACCGTTTACAACCTACGGTCCAAAAAAGCCTAGGCCACTGCGCATGTCGATTAATAAAAGCGCGAAAAAATATCTTTGGGCATTTTAACAAATTTTACAGGAGAAGGAAAACACATTTCACTACCAGATAAAACTTTGATGAAAAATATTTTTCAGTATAATTAAATAATAAAATAATAATCAATGCAAAAAGCGCACGAAGGTTCTTTTGCAGGCGCAGCGACGATATATAAATAATTCTTTGAAATACCTGTAAATCAAACCGAACTTGAATTAACATTAAATTTCTTTAAATGCCAAATTTTGGAATTTAAAGAAATTTTATTTATATTTTTTATTAATTATTTTTTAATAATTATTGGTATACCTACAAATAAATTAAATATATATAATAAATGGACGAATTCTTTACATTAATTATTTGCAGTAAACTTAAAAACTGGAATTTATCAATGATAAAATTTTATTTTTGAAATAAAATGATTTACTTTATAATCCGGCCAAAAATTTGATTAAAGCTTTAAATAAAGATTGATTCGGTTGTTCTAGTGCTAAATTGGAGTTAACAGGCTGAACAGGTTTTAAATCAGTTTTCGTAGGTCAAACCAAAGATAATATCTTTGGGTCAAACTACCTTTAAATTACGATCTAAATTTTGACTCGGGGTGTGTCATATTATTTTCTTACATGTTAAAATGTAAAATTGTCAGAAAAAACTTTTTTTACTGATGGTAACATAACATTTTTAGATATAATTTGTGGATTCTGCCAAAATCCACAGAAGGTCTGTTCTATCTTGTTTTTTGCATACTAAAAATCACTGCTGCCATTTTTTTGTTGTTTACAATTTTTGTGTTTTGGGTTTGTGCTGTTTCTTACAGAGGCACTTGTAAGCCTGAAATAATGCTTTACTCTTATTTTTTTTTAAATAAACCTTATTATGGCTATGTTCCGTAATTTACTGTCAGTACTGAAAACGCATTTCGAAATCCACTTTCAGTTACTGAGCTCAGTGGTAAATACTACCCTTTTATAAATGTACGGCAGATTAATTTTACTGAAACAACTGGGGACAGAGAGGTGCTGTGGCTCCAGTAAAACACATAACCAAACTTTTAAACAAAAAATAGCTGTCAATGAAGGATATAAATTATATCATATAATAATGGTATTTGGTGAATACCTATAGGACTAATTATTTCAATATTTATTGATAAAATATTACTTGAAAGTACAAGCAGCAGTGACGAAGGCAGGTCGGCGGGGAGTACGCATACAAAGACCCAGAATATGAAACTACCTACTATAGTACTACCTATAGGTAGTACCTAGAAAATGTTATATATTTGTATTCAGCGGACGAATTTAAGAGTAATTTTTGGTATTTGGCTTATTGTTGTGGTGTCAGTTCCTATTCCTATATACATTTTTCGACGCGGACGACGATAACATTAAATTTTCCATATTTCTCTGCCATAAACCAAACATTATATTTCTTATAGGTAACTGTTATATTTATTTTTTATTTATGTTCTGTGCTGTGCCGAAAGTAAAGCTTGTCAATTGTCAGTAAATCACAAATCATAACCTTGCGTAACCATTGTCACTTCCTGCTGCTACTGAGGCGCGTTCCAATTTCACTGTGCGTCAGTACTGAATAAATTACGGAACGGTCCTTTTCCGCTACTGACAGTAAAATTACTGACAGCAAAGGCAGTAAATTACGGAACACAGCCATTATCAGGGTTGTCATCAAACTGTCAAATATCAATTTTAAAGTTAGTTTACCACAAATTGACCATACCTATAAATTAACCTTAATCTTGACATTCGACAGTTTGATAACAGCCCTGATAAAATAAGGTTTATTTTTTACAAAAGAGGAGTAAAGGGTCTCTGTAAGAAACACAACGGAGTGATTTTTAGTATGCACGAAACGAGATAGAACAGACCTTGTGTGGATTTTGGCAGAATCCACAAATTATATCTGAAATTGTGTTACTTTCAGTAAAATTAAATTTACAATGTTGTCATATTTAAAATTATATTATTATAAATTGTTATAATAAAATAAATAACTATAAAATTACAAATAGTTGTTAAAACCATTAGTTAGATTCTGTATTGTAGATTACATTTCGATTAGAAATACATTTGCGATATTTTCTCGTGGCTGGGCCAATTGATAAAGGACGGGCTCGAACACATACTTCGTCCTCCCAACTCCCAACAATCAAAATGTGCCAACGTCACGTTTATTTATGTTAACTCGCTACGCTTGATGACCCCCTAAACCAGGGGGCCGTCACCGCTGCCACCACCACGGTTGTTAATTGTCGCATTGTGTTGCAGATTTCACGAGCGTCAACAGTTTCCAAGACGAGCTGAAATTCACGTCGCCCTCGTTCTACAACCTGACGCCGCCGCCGCCGCCCACATCCAGGCCGCCGCCCACCTACGACCCGCAAAACTACCAGACGCCGAACAACGTGGTGTCCAACGGCGGCGGGCCCAAGCCCAACGAGAACTACTACGCCGCCACCGATATCATCAAAGTGAGTACCATTTTTTTGAAGTGAAGTGCAACTTTCTTACTTCTTTATTAACAGATTTAAGAGATTTCTTAAGTGACGATCATCTTAAGTGGACATTTCAATGTTAATTTTGCTCTAAAGGAAGCTCAACCACAATTTACCATGTACTGAGTACATTGTACTCGTACATATATACACGGTGTGTCTCTGAACGAAGTTTAAGTCACATAAAAATGACGCCAAAAACTGATTGCAGTTTCTTGTTCGGGACCCTTTGGTAAATTAAAAATGATATTTACCAAAATCCTAGCTGATCCTCTTTTCGAAATTTTTTGAAAATTTATGATTTTTTTTTTAAATTTTTGTTTATTTCAAAGTCTACCTTTGACAGAGTACACATTTGTACACCGATTTTTATAAAATTAGAGTATATTATTAAGGAGACTTAAAGAATACTTTTTAATACTGTTCACATAATTTGATATATACAGGGTGAGCCAAAAATCGCTTATTTTTAATAAAGCAAAAGCGTAAATTCATGATTTTGGCATAACACGCAAAACAGATGTATCCCCATTTTTTTTTTTAGATATTTTTACGTTTATTAGGTTACAAAATGGCATTTTTATTAACCTTTTATTAAAAAAATAGATTTTTAATAAAATTAAATAAAATAACGCTTAGAGAATATTTAAAATGTTGTTTAATTTAGGCTTTTTAGAAGTTTTCAATTTTGAACGAAAAACTGGTTAAAGTTTTTTGATGGGCACTCTTTGGAGATTTAAAAACGATATTTACCAAAATTCTAACTGCTTTTCTTTAAATTTGTTAAAAAATCATTTTTTTTGTTTAATTTATTTGTTTATCGCAAAGTCTACCTTTGCCAGAGTACACATTTGTACACCGATTTTTATTGATTGCAGTTTCTTGTTCGGGACCCTTTGGTAACTTTAAAATGATATTTACCAAATCCTAGCTGCTCCTCATTTCGAAATTTTTTAAAAATTCTTAATTATTTTTTAAATTTTTGTTTATCTTACCTTTGACAGAGTACACATTTGTACGCCGATTTTTATAATATTGGAGTATATTGTTAACGAGACTTGGGGAATACTGTTTTCATACTGAGCACAACATTAGATTTATATAGGGTTAGCCAAAAATCACGTTTTTATATAGTAAAAAGCATAATGCACAAAACAGATTTATCTCCAAAAAAATTTATTTTATATAATTTTATTCAAAATCAATTTTTCTTATAAAGTCTTGATAAGAATCTCATTTTGTAGCCTGATAAATATAAAAATATCTAAAAAAACATGGGTGGGTATATATCTTTTTTGCGTGTTATGCCAAAATCATGAATTTAGGCTTTTGCTTTATTAAAAGAAGCAATTTTTGGCTAACCCTGTATATATTAAATGATGTGCACAGTATAAACAGTATTCTCCAAATCTCCTTAACAATATACTCCAATATTATAAAAATCGGTGTACAAATGTGTACTCTGTCAAAGGTAGACATTAAGATAAACATAAATTTAGAAAAAAAATCATGAATTTTCAAAAAATTTCGAAAAGAGGAGCAGCTAAGATTTTGGTAAATATCATTTTTAAGTCACCAAAGGGTCCCGAACAAGAAACAGCAATCAGTTTTTGGCGTCATTTTTATGTGACCTAAACTTCGTTCAGGCACACCGTGTATATACAGTGTTTGTTAGATATTTAGACAGATTACAATCAAAAATGCTTATTTCATACTTTAGCTAAAATAAGCATATTGCTTTGTGTCTGGAGTGTAAGTCTGACAGTACAGGTTAATTATAAATAATTTTCATAATACCTCCTTCAACGAAATTACACCTTCATCAGACCTTGCATTGCCTAGGATGTTAAGCTTAATAGTACAGTTTGTAGGTTTGTACGTTGACATTGTTAAATTGATAGAGACACATTTTTTAGTAGAAAAAATATTTGCAATTTCATTTTACAACAAAACACATAATACAAAATTATTTAGGTACAATGAGAGCAAGTTAATTACGCAGTTGTTGATATTAGAAAGGACAATATATTTGTTGTGATGCTTATCGTCGACAGTTTCTGCTATTATTCTTTCTACGCTATCAGTTGAGGATGATGTTAAAGTAAACATTTAATTTTCTTAGTTTCTTTAAGAAACTTTCTTGACCCATTACTGCTAATATTCATAAGAAAAAAAATTGAACCTACACCTCGCCAAAGTTTTTTTGTTTGGTGGAACGCACTCAAAACAAAAAACTTTGGAGTAGGTTCAATATTTTTTTCATTGTCCGTTGATTTGAACAGCTGTTTCAAAATTGGAAGGTTCTTGGTAACAAACTGTTCAGCAACTGCTGAAAATTTCCAGCTCCCCAATTGTTCTAAGGTAAGGAGATCGTCACTGTGTCTCCAAGTTTTTGTAGAACTCCTCCAATTTTGTGAAATCCTACATCTTTTTGGTGCTTTTGCCGTTTCTGTAGTCTAAAAAAAAGCATCCACTTATCTTCAATATCGTCTTTCGTAATAGTAAACTATCGGAAAGATTTATTTTTATTTGAAGAGCTACAAGGTCGGTTAAATTAGAGAAAAGTTGGGTTATTGCAAGTTTATTAAAATAACATTTTAAAATTGAATTTAAAAGAAATTATTATATCTTCGTTATTCATGGGAATTTTGAAATAAGTGAGTTGTAAATGGAAATATACACATTTATGTACAGAGTGTTTTTCTATAAATAGGACACCCCTATAAAATCTTTATTATTATGCATGTTATACATATACAACATTAAACATTCACTACAATGTTATAAAAATATAGATCCATACAAAACAAGAAATAAAAAAAAAATTGAACCATTCTCAAGGTTATCAATAAGTCACATATACCAAGGTATTAAGTATTTTATTTTGTTTGTATTGAATAGTCTAATAAGTATTTCACTGCTGTCTTTGTTATGCTTGGTTTAAAAAAATATTTTTTTAACAAAAATTCAAAAACAAAAAAGCATCGGTAAATTTAATAAAATAGCATTGACATTGTTTTTTTTTTCAATGAAACACCTTGTATATTTTTGAATATTTAAATAGAGTTTTTTCTTCTGATTTTTTAAATATATTTGTGTTAAATATTTTGAGAATATCTGACCAGAAAATTATGCTAAATTTAACGCGAGAATCATGATTGTCATGTATAAAGATTTTTACCCTAAACTAAGCAAGGCCTTTGGAACAATTATTAGCGTTTTGTTAAAAATTAATAATGAAAACATGGTTATTTTACGACGTGAGTTCTTTATCAATGTCAACTATAATTGTGACGTTAAAATAAGACAGGTTTTTGGTTCAATTATAAATAAAATGTTTAATTCAAACATATCCAAATGATATAGTTTTGAAATTAGAATAAAAAACATTGTTTTATCTATTTTATCATTTTTACCAATGCATTTTTGTTTTTTAATTTTTGTCAAAATAATTAAACCATGCAAGCTGGTTTTTTTTAAACTTTTAATAAAAAGATTTTAGAGGGTTGTCACATTTATACAAAAATACCCTGTAATTTTCATCCAAATTTTGCCCACTGAATTTTTGTTTTTTTTTTATCAAATTTTTTTATGAATGAATAGAAAAAAAAAATTTGAGAACCGCTGGCTTTTTGTGCAATTTATAAATTTTATTTGAATAGGCTACGCAATTTTTCATGGTAGGATACTTGGTGCACCCTGTAAAGATGGATTTTAGTTCACGGCCATTTCAAGCGGATGGACGGGACAAATCATAAAAAAAATTGTAGGTAATTTATTATATATTATTTTTGCATCAAAATTGTCATATATAATACCACAAGAGCTTCAAAATTATCGGGTATTTTTCCCGATAGGTTCGTTGCAAACAAATGAAGGAGTCAAGTTTTTCAGGTTAAAAAATCACGAGCGCGAAGCGCGAGTGATTTTTCCTGAAAAACTTGACGACTTTATTTGTTTGCAGGGAACCTTGAGGGAAATGCCAGATAATTTTGAAGCTCGTGTGGTATTCGGGGGATTATTTTTTTTGACAGTTATTATTGTACCTTCCTTATAGTCTTCTCCATCCATTTTCTTCATATTGTAAGCGTAATCTTTCATAATGTTTGCCAATTGCGCTTCACTCGTTTCAGCACTCAATGTGTATTCCCTCTCAGTACAAAAAGTAGTAAATTGGTTCCAAACTGTTTTTTTTGACTTCTCCGTATTAATGGGAACATTTCCTTTGACTTTTTTATCGATGGTGGACAGAGAACAAACTCCAAATCGACTCATTTTCATGCAAAATCTCCAATTTTCACAATTGAATTCAACCTGTCAGTTTGACGTGTAATTAATTTGACTTTTTTATATATAGCAACTACCAGAGAAAATTTTCAAAAAATTATCGCTGTAATTCGCTGTAGGTTCCCTCAACAACAATGCCTCAACAATGTCCCAACAATACAGAGAACTGTCAAAAAAAATAATCAAATATATTCTTCTCTTATTAGGCTATACTATCGCTAACAAAAAAAACTCATACAGCTTAAAAATCGAGTGTTCCTGATTTTCTATCATTTCGTTGGAGTAATTATGGCTTTTAACATGATACGTCACATTTGAAAGGTCTAAAATTAAATACAAAGTTAGGTTGAAGTTTGAAAAAATAATAATATTTCGTCATCCCTCTGTTTTTGTCAATTACTGCCCGCAAACGGCAAAGCATGGAAGTCGCCATCTTGCTTTATCTAGTTCCAAATGGCTTCAATGGCTTGCCAGAGTTCGTCTACATTGTTTGGTTGAAAATGTTGTTAAAAAAGTCATAATGGATGTGACAAAGCTCGATGTCAGTTTGACATTGACGGAAAAGTTTTATTCACACAGCCACAATATAGCTGTATGAGTTTTTTTTGTTAGCGATAGTACATTTAATAACAAAAATCGCAAGAAATATTTTATAAAAGTAGAGATAATTTCAATAATTGACAGGGGTG